TTTTTAAATGAGTATCTACTCTGCTTCCCAAGCAGCAAGGCAAGACCGCTCATTTCATTCCGATTCCCCTGACCTACCCAGGATCTAGAACTTTCCACACTCTACAAAACTCAGTCACCAACAAGCATGCCTGCGGTTTTGCATGCTGTGGATTCTGGTGGTCACCTCCTCCAGGGCACTTCTGAACCCACAGGGGGCAGGATTTCATGACCTGGAGGAAAAATGCTCTCCCAAATTCTGGGAAGCCGTTCACCACCCAGAGGCAGGTCATTCTTCTGTCCTACTTTCCAGTTCTGACTCAGACACCCCCTCCAGGTTTCTGAGGTTGTAAATATTAATAATAAGAAGAAACTGCCCATTTCTGTCCTACAGAGTTGTTGCTGGATTAGACCCTGAAGAAAGATTTGTTCATTCTTTTGGTATATTCAATATTGTTTGTCAACATCACAATTCAAAGGTACCAATTCTCCCTTGTTCTTCCTTATTCACTGTCCAACTTTTACATGCAGAACACATTTCATAGATAATTTCCTACATCCTAGCCTGGCGACCAGAATCTGGAGTTTAAAAACTTTTTAAGCAGCCATCTGAGACCCCATTTTTGGTCTCTTCCCACTTGGGGTATAGGAGAATCAAGAAAAATTAAAACTCAAGGAAGCAATTCATTTTAGGGGGCACTAGTGGACCTCCAAAGCTTGGAAGGAGGAGTGGCATCCACTTGCGTAATAGCTTGCCTCCGGAAACCCTATGAACCTGGAGAGAGGATGAAAGATACCCTGCGTTGAGGACTCTCCTTCATTGGGTCGCTATGAGTCGCCTGTGACTCAATGGCACTTAACAACAACAACAACAAGTCGACCTCTGACAAGTTCGACTGACACAGGACTACAGCAGTAGGCTCAAGTGTATCAGAGATGATGAAGGTGGCTCAGGACAGGACAGGATTGCGGTATGTTGTTCAGAGGGTCACTGTGAGTCATACGCGACAGCACCTGACAGCAAGAAGAGGTGCCTTGGTGGTGAGGAGTTAACGCTGTCAATCCAGAGGCACACAACGCGTTCAAACCCACTATCTGCTCCATGAGAAAAAGATGAACAGTCTCCTCCTGTGTGATTTGCTGCCTCTGAAAATCAGCCAGAGGGCCAGCTATGGTGGGTTCCAACTTGGCAATACAGAACCTCCACCAGAGCCCACACGAGCCACAGCTCCTCAGTCCTAACCCCAAGATAACCACGACTGACCACTCTGAACAAGACCACCACAAAAGATTCTCATTAAAAAAAAATTCTCATTAGAATTTTTATTAAAATGTAGAGTAAAATTCAAAGTGCTCCCTGCCCCCCTGCCAGACCAGACTTACTAGTCACAAAGGAACAAAAAAGCACTCCTGGGAGTGGTACCCTGAGGAAACCCAAATGGAAGGCTTGAGGCTACTTTGGAGCCAAATAATAAACTGGACTGTAAAACGAATAACAACACCTGTGAAGAATGTGCTCAACTACCTAAGACCAAAAGTACAGCATTTTCCCAAAACCAAGAATGAGAAGACAAGGGAAGGATAGGGAAATGAGATGAATGGGAACAGGGAACCGAGGCAGCAAAAAGGGAGAGAATTGAGTGCACATTGTTCGGATTGTAAACTGTGTCACACAGCAATTTTTGTATGAACCATTGACCAGGAAAAGGAATTTGCTATATAAGTTCCCAGCTAAAGCACAGTTTAAAGGAAAACTGAGTCTAGCAAGATGGCATCATATCCCTGCACAGCGAGTGTTGCCTGGAATGGAGCAGAAGACATACCAGCCAGGGGATAGCTCTGGTCCTGTGCAGGCAGTTACGGAAGATGTTTAAGTGGATAGTGACATTTTAGTTCATGCAATTTCATGTAACACAATGACTGCATTTAATAATCATATTTACAAGAAGCTGTTCTGCAATCCGAAAGGCACGTGATTTGAATCCACCAGCTGCTCCTGTGGAGAAGGATGGACAGTCTTCTCCCATATGATTAACTGCCTCCGAAAACCCACTGAAGAGTCAGCAATGAGTCGGTTCCAACTCGACAGTACCTGACAACATGTGAAATCTACCTATCCTGCATGTGCTGCTTTATGGTCCATTTACTATAATGCTGACTACTGAGGTGTGGTGACGTGTACAGGACGCTGAAAGGCTTGAAAAAATTCTTATGTGGAAGATTGTATTTTCTATTTTGGATTTTTGGTTGTCTGTGGTTAACCAAAATGGCAATATATTAATAGCATCATTAATACCCTATTTAAGGAAAATCTTGCTGAAAATAACCCAAAAATGGTGTGTACATCTATAGGGAAATGTCTGAAATTTAAGCTAAAATCAGAAGAAGCCACAGAACCAAGGATATCACTGAAAACATGAGAGAGGTTTGGGGCTGAAAGCAGAAAATACCTCCGAGATGTTTATTTGTTTTTTATTGACTACCCAAAGACATTACACTGTGTGCATCATAAGAAATTGTGGCTAACGCTGAGAAGAATGCGAGTCTCAGAACACTTGCCTGTACTCATGTGGAACCTGTACACAGACCATGCAGTAGCTGTTCAAATAGAAGGGCGTACTGCGTGATTTACAACCGGGGAAGGTGTGCGTCAGGGTTGTGTCCTTTCACTGTATGTATTCAATCTGTTTGCTGCGTGAACAATCTGAGGAGCTGTACTATATGAAGAACTTGGTATCAGGGTTGGAGAAGGATCCGTTAACAACCCGTAATGTGTAGGTGACACAATCTTACTTGCAGAAAACCAAGATGACCTGAAGCAGCAACTGATAAAGAAGATCGAAAACTATCGCCTTCGTTATATTCTATACCTTGAGATAAAACAAAAATTGTCACAACTGGACCAGTAAACAGCATCATGGATAAATGGAGAAAAGACTGAAGTTGTCAAGGATTTGTTTTTACATGTGTGAATGCCCAGCAGCGAGCCAAACAGCATGTTGCATTGGGAAAATCTGTTGCAAAGACGTCTTTAAAGCATTAAAGGCAAGGAAGTCTCTTTGAGAATGAAGATGTATCTGATCCAAGCTATGGTATTTGGAAATACTAGAGACTCAAAACACACATAAATCTGTCTCACATGTACAGCCAGAATGTTCCCTAGAATCAAGAATGGTGAGTCATTGTGAATGATGTCATGAAAGGGCAGTCTGAGCTTTGTCCTTAGAAAATGCCTGTAACTTTGGGAAAGGAACCCCCAAAAGATGTGTCAATAATAGAGATACACTTTCAGGAAATTTTGTTTTTGTGAAAATTGTATTTGTTGTTGTTAAGAATATACACAGAACATGGGGAGCTCCGGTGGCCTAGTGGCAGGAAGCTACACTGCAATCCCAGAGATGCACAGTTCGAATTTACCAGATGCTCTACTGGAAAAGGAGGGACAATCTCCTCCTGTACCAGTCAGATCTGGTCTGATAGTCCACACACAAAAATAGCAAAGTAAAATTTTTAAAAAAGCATATACACAGAACATTCGACAGTTCTCCTGTACAATTCCTGACACTAATGGCCTTCTTCAGGTGTATAACCATTCTCACCCCCTTGTTCCTAATTGTTCTTCCCTGTAGAGATGAACTTGCTGCCTGACAATTCTTAACTACAGCAATAAGCATCTAAAATTTGCTTTTACATATCATAAATACACATGTAGTTTTTTCCAATCCACCTTGCCCTCATGTAAAAGTGTAAGGATAAGGGACTGGATTTTAGATGTTTGAAAAATGGCCTATAGTGAGCTTTTTATTAGCATTCAAGAAATCACAATTGTAATGCTAAGTAAAAACAAAGGACATAAATTACATATACAATACACTTACAACTCTGGTAACCTAGTGGGCAAGAAGTTGTGCTATCAACCCAAAGGCAGATAGTTCTAATCCACCAGCTGCTCCTCAGGGGAAAGATGGGTAATCTCTGCCTATGTGATTGGCAGCCTCTGTAAAACCTGCTGGAGGGCCAGCTGTGAGTTGGTTCTGACTTGAAGAAAATGAAGAGAGAGAGAGAGAGAATGTGTAAAGTTCTTTTTCTTTTAAAGGAAACAAAATTCCTCAGAGGATCAATTTTCAGCCAAATTAAAGTATATAAAGTAAATACTAACACTGGCGATAAAAATACTCTTCCATATAATCAACCATATGGGACCAAAAGGTTAACATTTATTTGCCCAAAACCCAAGCTCAGAAGACAGGAAGGGTAAGGAAGGGGCAGGAAAGCAGGGAGAGTGGGAGCTGGGAACTCAGTCAGGAGGGAGAAGAGTGTGGCTACACTGAGGGGATTGGAGTTATTATTCTGAAACAAAATTGACATGCATTGTGGACACTGATGGGCTCTGGAAACTTTTACCCAAACTATTGTGAAAACCAAAATCATACACATAAATTTTTTAAAAAGAGTGTTAAAAAAACCATAGTGGATGACTTTTGGGTGTTGAAACCATATAGCTGTGGTGGCCTAATGGTAAGAAACTATGCTACAATCCCAAAGGCACACAGTTCATATCCATCAGTTGCTCTGAGGAAGAAAGATGGGCGGCAATCTCACATGTGATTTACTGCCTCTGAAAACTCACTGGGGGGGTCATCTATGGGTCAGTTCTGACTCTATGGTATACAAAGACAATGTCCATAGTGGGCCCTGGCGGTAGTTTAGTGGGTAGAGTGTGGGGCTACTAATCCAGAAATATTCAGTTCAAATCCACCAGCTGCTCCACAGGAGAAGACGGGCAGTCTCGTCCTGTGCAATTCACAGTCTCTGAAAACACATAGCTGATAGGTCCGCTATTGATCAGTTCTGATTCTATGTCCATGAGGCTTTGGGTTTGGATTTTGTAAGTGTACAATGGGTGTGCCTTATTCAGCTGTGTACCCTCAGATCTTGAGGGAGTCAGTCACCCCACTGGCTTCAACTAGGAATCCTGTGTTGAATGGGGCCCGACTTCCATTCCTTTCCTCTGTTCTGCAGGTAACAAACACAAAGAGCAGCATCCAAAACACCCCGCCTGTCGGATACAGCCTAGGAGGCAGTGCCGAGTCCTCCCACGGTCTGCGGGCTCTGCCAGAAACCAGGCATTTTCAGGTAACCATAGCTGACTTCAGGGCACAGGTGTGGCTGGGCAGGGTGGGAACTTACAAAACCCTGACGATTACAGATGACAGTCCCCAGGATGCCTCTTCACATGGTCTCAGGAACGTCTGTCCATCTGCAGCTGATGAGCCTGTTGGCGATAGCTAGCAATGCAGGCACACTCTACAGCTGGAGCACTCCATTCTGATTTTGAAATGCTTGCTAAGGACTCAATTTCCATATATTTCACTCCTAGGGAGAAATAAATTATCCCATAGAAAAAAGATATTATCCCAATAAATGTCAATATTTTATTAGTGACAGGAAAGTAAGAGCTGTTAACACTTTAAATTTCAACTCACAGGTTTTTAACTAGTTTTCAAAGTGGTATTACAATTTAACATCTATTTCTGCAAATAGAGTTCTAAGCTAATTATCCATTAACAGTCAAGAATGAAAGAGATCATCCTTCAGAAAACTTGAGCAGGAGTTAGATGCTGTTCTAGCCAACCAAATTCCTGAGGTAACTAACTCAAGATCTTGGAAACAGACTCATATTTCTCAGTGAATGTTTTAAAATTACTTAAATTTACGTTTTCATGAAAAGAGAGGTAACTCGTGGTTGCTGTGAAGCTGAACTCTGTGACACTGATGTGTCAAATGTGTGAATGGTTACCCACGGTGGACTGTGTTTGGTGGAGCTCCCCGATTAAAACAAGCTTGGAAGCAGGAGTGGCATCCACTTCTGAAAGAGCTTGCCTCCAGAAACCCTATGAACCTGGAGAAAGGAGGAAAGTTATACAAGTGTTCAGGTCTTTCATTCATAGGGTCGCAATGAGTCGCCTACAACTCAACAGCACTTAACAACAGCAACATACATGAAAAGTTCAAATTTTAACATTCTCCTTAATATTTTTTTTTTCTTAGCACAATTCTGTGAAGAGAATCAATTCTTTTTCCCCCTCCAAGCCCAATATGGGTAGTCCATAAATCTACTCTAATGAACTTCAGTGGGCTATAGAAATAGTACCATCTTCTATGAAATGTGACACTGAAAAAAGGGAAAAGGATAGGGGCATTGCTTTATGCTGGCCTCTTGGTATAAGAGGAAGAAGATAGAAGGAGATCACATTCGAATTCTGTCACCATGAGAGGACCCTGAGGGAATCGGAAGCATATAGATAGGTATTTCTTCATCCACAGAAATGGAGCTGCTTCTTGTCCACAGTCGCCTACCATAAATTCCCACAAACAATTACAATCACTTTTCCAGCTTTTTCCTCCTCCCCAGTCCCTCCCTTACACCCCCCACCCCCACCCCGACACACACCCTTCCTGCAGTCCTCACCCAAAGGTCTCACCCAAAGGTTTGGCATTGTTAGTCGTCCCCTCTGGCCATTAGTCTGTGACAGGGATTTCATTTGTCTCTTGTTGTTGATTGCCATTGAGTCATCCAGTCCAGCACGACTCATCACGACCCTGTGAACAAAAGGCCTGAAGCCTTTCTATAACTATCGACATTTATCAAAGTTCATAGAGTTTCCAGAGGCATGTTGTTTAGGAAGTGGAAGCCACAATACAAAAAAAAAAGGAGGAGGGGGAATAATTGGAGTTTTATAAAAATGCTTCCCCACAAAAAAATGTATTTTTATATATATGTGTGTGTATATATGTATATATATGTGTGTGTGTGTGTGTGTGTGTATATATGCCACAATACCAAAAAAAAAAAGGAGGAGGGGAAATAATTGGAGGAGTTTTATAAAAAAGCTTCCCCCCCAAAAAATGTGTATATATATATATATATAAAGTGTATGTAAAGAGTTTGCCAAAACTCTGGTTCATGGGGAAAAATGATTCACAGAGGTTTGTGTTTTTTCCCCCCCAATTCTTAGTGGCAGAAACATTACTTGTGGAAAAGCAACACACTTACCTGAGCACATTCAACAATCAGTTTGTCACTTTTGTTCCTGAGGAAGGAGTTAATGGCATCTATGTTGGAGATTCCGGAAAAGTCCCAGAGAAAAGTAAAACATTTTCTTTTATCAGTAAAAATGTGATGGTTATTGGTAAATCAGGGGGGAAATAATGTACTAAATAATTTGCAGTAGATTAACGCAGATGTGACAAAGTCAGTTCATGTTGTATGCTAATGCCCACCCACGGGCAGTGGATGTCTGACCACCACTGTGCTGAGATGGATTTTGAAGCTTCAACAAGGCTCATCAGGGAAGAATGCAGATACTGCAAAGTGTTATCTGTAGTGAAAGACAGAAAGAAGAACCACATGTATTTGTTATTGGAAAATGTCCATCAGGAGCTCTGCTGGCATAGTGCATTATGAGTTGCAAACCAAAAGGTCAGCAGTTCAAATCCACCAGTGACTCCTTGGAAGACACAAGGGTGATCATTACTGGTAAAGATTTTGCAGCATCAGAAACCTTAATGAGCCTTGCAAGGAGTCAGAACAAACTCAAAGGCAATGAATGAACAGAGTGAATAAAATATCCATTAGAATTCTCAACCCCATCAACACCACCACCAAAAATCACCCCAGTAAAAGATAGATTGGTTTTATAAAACAATGCATAGGAATGATTGTATGAAACACAATATGAATGAAGAATAATGTGAAACACAACGTATACAAACTTTGTGAGCAAATCAATACACACACATATGATGTTGTTATTGTTGTTATGTGCTGTCGAGTTGTAGGCGACTCATAGTGACCCTATGAATGAAAGTCCTCGACAGTTGTGTAACTTTCATCCTTTCTCCATCCTTTCTCTCACACACACATATATAAAAGATTATACCAATATCTGAAGTATTTTAATAACTATATTTAGAAATGGATCATAGTATATTTGTATATTTATATATTGATATTTTGGTTTTTTAATTTTATATTGGTTTGCTCTATTTATATATTGTTGAGACCTTTTCAAAACCACAAACATTTTGCTTTTATTGCTATGTAGTGATAATTTTTAAATTAGCTCTGTAAGATTTTAAAATCATTGTCTTAGAATTGGAACCAACTCAAAATTGACCCTCCAGTAGGATTTTTGGAGGCTGTAAATTGTCAGGAGGAAATCATTCAGTCCTTCTCCTTTGCCTCTGGCGGCGGATTACAACTGGCAGAGAGGTGCCACCATTGGGTTGGTGGGGTAACTCCCTACAGACTAGGATGTGGCACCAGAGCCCTCTGGTCCTAAGGAGGAAGGGCATTTCACTGTTGATGTACAAGCATTGAAACAGAAGTCTTTTGAGAATACTTTTTCTCACCAGAACTATTCTATATGGCTTCTCTTCCAGACAAGGTGTTCCTCTATCGCTATGCTTCTTCAATCCCTGAAGATACATCAGGTAATCTAGAGGGTTGGGTAGCTGTATTACTTGGATGCTCAAAACTGAGATAAACATAAATTTTAAAATGTACCACAGAGAAGGAAGGCATCAGCGAGTGTCTTAGAAAGTCCCCTCAATCCCAAGCTCATTATAAAACCTTATCTTCTTAAAGGGTTGATTCCACTTTGTCTATTTTGCAGCTTAATAATTAGGATAAAGGTATGGCTTAATGTAAAAGACCCAAAAGAATGGTGGCTTAAGTGAGGTAAAACTTTGTTTCTATCTTAACCAGGGCTGAATGGTAGTTTTGCTGCACAGTTGCCCAGTGACTCCAGTGTCATAGTACACCCCCATGTTCCAGGAGTCAGGAGAGAGGTAGACAGGTGTATTTATTCCTTTTAATTGCACAAAGCGGAAGGTGCACCTGACACTTCTGCTTGCCACATGGTGGTCAGAATTTACTCACACAGCTATCCTTAGTTGCAAGAAAAGGCTGAGGAATGTTTTCTTAGTAGGCAAGTGGAAGAGTTGGAAATTGGGAGCATTAATGGTTTTCACAGGAAGACAGGAAAGCAGAGAGAAGGCCCTCAGAGTCACAATTCTCCAGTCAGGAAACATAAGAGAATGCTCACCTCTCAAATGGCTTTGAAGTAACCAAGTGTTACTCTAGATCTCTTTCATTGCATCTGAGTGCAAATATTTCCAAGAGGCTTGCTGGTGAATGACTGTTTTAAATGATTGTTTGGGCTCTTTTCCAGAGTGTTAAATTTGTTTAAGTGAAAATGACAATTCTCGAATCTGTAATTGACTTTGACTTTTTCTAACTGTAAGGTGAAGGTTGGAAGTACGAGGTAAAACTGAGGCTCAAAGAAAACGAAAACTTCTGGCTGCATTGCAACAAGCAGAATCAAGCCGTGGAAATTAAAAAAGTATGTCCTCCATGTGCATGCTCAGTTCTGCCCCTCCATGTAGATCTGGACGATCAGGGAATTCGGCAAGAGGAGTTTTGTGCTACCATACATAAAACACAACCAGTTACTAGAAGCTACTTGCTTCTGGGTAGGAAAGTGGCTTGTATAACCTTACTACTGAGAGGTCTCGCCTAGCACTTCAACATCATCTGGGACCTTGTGAGAAATGCCCAGTCTCAGGCTCCCCACAACTCTAGTAGAATTAACATTTTAATGGATCTTCAGGTGGTTCATATGAACACTGAAATCAGAGACATATTGCTACACAGTATGACCTCTTTCTGATTGGCTTTAAGGACTACTAACAATTTCTCCAGAAGCTAGTTCTTTGTAAAATAAAAATTTTCCTGGTGAATGCAAAAATAAGCTGAATATTCTGAACTTGCTAAAGAGAAGGTAATAAACATTTCCAAATGCCAAACATTATGGGTAATGACAGTCTATATCTACATCACAGGATTCATTCATTGTGTACTCCTCTTCAGTTAGTAAGTGGCAATACTATCTTAGTCTTGACGGAGAGTTAAAAGTATAGTGTGGAAGAAACAAGCTAAGAGTGGAAGCAAGGAATAAAATATGAGCTGACATTATAGACCATAAATTACATAAACACACAGAATTATGAAGTTATTAAGATAGTCTAAGGCATTATTATTATTATTAAGGCATTATTAACATAAACAATCAGTGGTATCAGCATCTCTTTTTGCCTCGCTTAACCAAAGCTACTTAACTGTATCTAAACATATTATTTGGTAGTTATAACCCCTCAACAAGGTAGAGGTTAACAGTGTTAACCCTGTACACACACACACACACACACACACACACACACACACACACGCGCGCCCATTAACTTTTGGCTCCCAAAATTTAACTTCTCATAGCCTACTGTCAACTGGAAGTCTTACCAAGGTCATAAACAGTTGATTGGCATATCTTTTATATGTTGTATGAATTATATACTGCACCCACATAAAAGTTACATTTTTAGTATGAGACAAAAAGGTGTTTCACAAAAAGGACAAGGTTTCTGTGCCTCTGGCTTAGTTGCAGTAATGGCTTCATGATCTTTACTTTAGATGCATTTATCATGAAGAAGGCAGCCCTCAATCTTCAGTACCTATTAAGTTATTCAACCTTTGTAAAAATTTTTTAATGCCATAACTTTTCTGTTTCTCGGGAGCACTGCCAGTATGTTGAGTGGCATTCCATGTGGGCACCATGATATTATTCAAGGGTTGTAACCCCAATCTCCACATGATGACAATATGTAAGAGCTATGAGACACTATCTTACTGTGATACACATCTTACTGGAGATATGAGGACACAAATATTTAGATGCATATTCACAAATTTTCCCCCATTAGGATTTTTTTTAAACTCCAAGTATAAGGGAACCAGCTCCATTCAAACTCATGTTGTTCAAGGACCAACTGTACTTATAGTAAGAGATGACCTCGTTTAAAAGCACTGTTTTATTTATCTTCAGATTAACCATGTGATGGCATTATCAAGCTGGTCAGTTACCACAGTGTAGTAAAATATCCCCAAAATTCAGTGGCTGAAAGGAATAAGCAGTTCTTCTCATTCACATATCTGTGGATATATTAGAGATTGGCTGACCAGGAAACGGACTAAACTAGAAAATCCAGGTTTAAATAAAGCAACACACTCCAAATCTCAAAGTTGTTGTTGTGAAGTGCCATCAAGCCCACTGCAACCCATAGCAACAGTGTGAAGAACTCATTGAAACCTTGCTCTCTCCTGTGCCTTCCTCACTGCTCCTGCCACGCTCAAGTCCTCAGTCTCAGGCACTGGTGCCCGTCTGCCTCAGAGCTAGTACATGGCAAAAGGAGTGTCAAGCCAAACAGGCTGCCTCCAAATCCAGTACATGAAGCTATTGGCTACCAGTGACTCAAAGTCCTCTCCCTTTAATCTTCCACTTCCTTCTTCCCCTCTCTTCTCTCAGATTCCACAAACTGGACCATTAGAAAGACCAAGTCACACACACATGAATAGCCCTTCCTTTATCTTCTAACAAAGAGATAAAGTTGGCTCAGGACAGCTCATTCACGCATTGGTTCTTTTCTCTCTTGTTTTCTCAGTTTGAAGAATCCGAAAGGTTACCAGAACAGACCTCCTTTCTCCTTCATTACAAGACCTCAGAGTACGTCTCATTTGAGTGTAAGAGCAATCGTGGAACATTTATTGCCGTCAGTGGTGACCACCTCCAGTTGGTTCAACCAAATGGCCTTACTGAAGAAAAAACGCTGTTTAAGCTAGCTCCATCACAGTGTTTAAATGTATTGGAAATCAGTGGGTCCTAGACCAAGTGCCCCCAATAGCTACCACCAGAGAAGGAATGAGATGAGGAACTAGATGAGTATCATGCAAAGGCAATAGAGAGCTCCTAGGATGCTGTAAAACATGTTCCTTGTCGTGTATGACATTCCCTCCCCCCCATTTTTCAATTCTGTTTTTTGTTTCCCTCTGGATCACTACACATTCAGCACAAGTATCAATATATTAAATAGAATATTGGTAATGCCATTTACAGTCATTCTTAAAAAGCCTGATCTTTTTAAGAGGATCTAAGGGGGGGGGTACATGGGGGACAGAGGAGAGGGTGTAATCATAGGGTCACACAAATTGATGGGTGGAGGGAGGAGTGGGTAAAGGAAAGAGCTGCTGTATAAAACAATTTATAGGAACTTTGTAAGTAAACCAGTATAAAATAAAAAACATATTTTCTTAAAAAGCCTGATCTTTACTTTTATACTGTTTCAGTTTAAAAAAGAGTTTAGAAAAAAAAAAACCCAAAAAAAAAGAGTTTAGTATTTATGATCCACTTTAAAGACTTACAGAAGGGCATTTTCCCTGGTGGCAAACACAAAGTTCAAACACTAAAGCTGCTAATAAAAAGTCTAGATTCTGACAGACTATTTGTCAACAAAAACCACTTTTGTTTCCAGATACCCTATGTGGCACTTGGTTTACATCTTTCAAATATACAGGGCTTGTGGGACATCCTCAACTGTACATATTCTCATTTTAACAAACAAGCTTACTTTGAGCATGCCATTCACTCATTCTTACATTGGGAAATGAGATAAGATGTAGTTAAGTCATGTTATAGAAATCAGTGTGAATATACAAGAAATTTTTTTTAAAAGCCATGTGGTAATGTGAGCCACAACATAGGTGATGACAGTAATTCTAACTTAAATATAAATTCCACAGAGGGACCAGAAGTTACTAGAGCCAGGGTGACATACAGATTGGCATTACTATGACACTTGTTATGAGTAGATTAAGTATAAGAAAACATAATAAGTTTGCTGAAAAACATGTTATAGAAAATTTCATACATAAGCTTGCTGTGAAACATAAACTTTTATGATATGAGTGGTTCAATAATAGGAATTTGCTATTTGTTAGAAATAAGAGTAAGAAATATATTAGAAATTTGCTATGTCATATGTTAGAAATAAGAGTAAGAAATATATTAGGAATTTGCTATGTTATATGTTAGAAATAAGAGTAAGAAATATATTAGGAATTTGCTATGTTATATGTTAGAAAATATGTTAGGAATATTTGTGAAAAATATACTAAACAGTTTGATATGCCCAAACATGCCCTCACAGGCCCTCAGTGGCCATAAGGCCCTACTGGCTGCAACAGGTGTAAATTCTTCATAAGGGACTATGACTTGTTACTGCCCATGTTGCCTAGGAAACATGAGTATGGAACATGATTGGTCAAACCCATGTTGTTTTAGGACTAATGTGATTGGTTATACAACTTATTAAACTAATATGGTTGGCAAAACCCAAAGTTTGAATGTTGTTATTCTTAATATTATTGGTTGAGTATAATATAACCCAAAGTTTGAATGTTATTGGTTGAATACAGTACAACACTCCAAAAGTACATAAACTCTGGGAGCCCACCTAAAATGGCACTTCTGCTGAAGACAATGAGCTAAACACTGAAGACCCAAAGGGCTCTTTTCAGAACAAAAAACTCTGGCCACACCGATGACCGAGCTGCTGACCCTGGCCACACCAGGGACTGTGAACTGCTAAATTAGTTGAGGATCCCAACCGTACCACTGGTCATGAGAGACCAAAGAAGGAGATGAGTTGGGCTTCCAGGGGTGAGTGAGAGTTCCACACTATTAATGAATCAATATGTTGTGATGAATTTATGAATTGCAAAGTAGATAAATTGCAATTAAGTATATAATGCTTGCTATGAATTAATGAATCAATATGCTATGATCCGTTTATGATTTGCAATTGATTATTGCTATGAGTTAATGAATCAATAAATTATAATAGGATTTTTAATATGTCTACAAGTAATTAAAGCTCAAGGCCCATGACAGATACTCCATGTCTTCTGACCTTGACTTTGAAGGACCTAAGACTTTTTCCTGTTGTGTACCAACAATTTTAATCTGACTGGCACAGGAGGAGACAGCCCCTCCTTTTCCAGCAGAGCATCTGGTGGATTCAAACTACAGGCCTTTGTTATTGCAGCGCAGCTTCTTGCTAGTTGGCCACCAGAGTCCTATGACTTTTGATGCATTCATTGTCACTGGGGATAAAATTTCTCCTAACCTTTGTTTCCTTTGTGCACAAGTCTTTCTGCTGTCCAGTGTCTGGATGACCTTGTATACTGTGCTATATCCATACGATTCTGTCCTGTCTCCATTTCTCCTAGCCAGGCAGCAGTGTCCTTGATGAGTCTTTTGTACCTCTGAGCTTCATTTCCTTATCACCTGACTTCTTGATAACACATTTCTTTCACTTCATTCCCCTTAGGAACAATTTTACTGAGGGCTATTGATGTGGCTTCTTCTATTGAATATTTTTAAATTTTATAGTTATTTAGGTAGCAAAATGCATATTAAACCATACAATAACATCCAACTATCAAAGGGATCATTTTTTCTCATCTTATAATCATAGCAATTTCTACTACAGTTTTTCAAAAGTTTAACATGATAGATGATTAAGTATTTGAAGATTCAAGAAAAGTAAGCTTTTCTGAAAGGGTGGGCTCTGTAATTTCTAATTTGTGGAGTCCTACATGATATATTTGTTAGTGCAACGAGATGGAAAAGGCAATCTCCAATTTCGTATGGAATGGAAAAAAGCCCCGAATAAGCAAAGAACTCCTTAAGAATAGAAGAACGGTAGGAGGTATCTCACT